CCCACAAATAGTCGTAGATTGAAAATGACCAATTTATTATTGTTTTTTTTTGTTTTTTTGGAGGGATTATTATTAGGCGTGTGGAATAAGGAAACTTGCCCAAGGTTTCGCCCTGTCTGGAATTGAACTCAGGTCTCTCACTTGCAAAGCGAGTGCTCTAACCACTGAGCTACAGGACTCCACAAAGTGTATCGATTGTATATTTGTCGGCGAAACGTAGCAGCCAATTGCGCACAGCAGTGTCCCACAAACAGTTGTGGAGTGAGTGACCAAATTATAATTTTTTTTCTTGAGGGATTATTATCAGGAGTGTGGAGTAAGGAAACTTGCCCAAGGTTTCGACTAGCCGGGAATCAAACCCAGAACTCTCGCTTGCAAGGCGAATGCTCTAACCACTGAGCTACAGAACTCTATAGGACGGATAGAAAAGTACGAGATAATTGAAACCCGCTGAGAATGATGACTTTAGACCCTAAATTTCTAATTACTGAAAACATCTGAAGCTTACATAAGGTGGTTATATAACACTTACAATTACACACCAAAATACATAACTCAATTGAGTTATTTTAATAGCGCATCCATTTAACAGAGAGGAAAGTACAACAGAGAAAGATGACATTTCTAGAGAAATTATGCTGTTACTGGAAATGAAAAGAGTACTTATCTCTAAATTAATCAATGCTTAACTTTAGTTCAATGAAATTATGAATTTGAGTATAGCAAAGTGGACATTAACCTTCACTGAGGGATAAATGCCACATTAATAGCTTCATATCATAAGCCTCAGTATAATCTATAGAGACAGTCAAGAAGAACATTTGATTGTCAGCCTTGCTCAGGTCAGCCTCTGAGTTAGAAGGCGAGTTAGAAGCCCATGTGGAGACTGAGCTCGCAGTCGAGGCTGACTCTCCAGTGTATTCCTGGGGTGCACTGCACTGTGACAGACGCTGTTTATCAGATGAGACATTAAACTGAGGTCCCTTTCTCCTGTTTAGGTGGACATTAATGTTCCCATGGCACTGTTCGATAGAGAAGCGAATCTCTGTGTTCTCGCCAACAATCTACCAAATAAAATTGGTAACTCATTTCATTGCTCTTTGAGCAGTTACTGTGTGCTAATTGGCTGTTGCATTTGCCTAGAAAATACTGTCACTACAACACATACATATACTCTGCAGCAAATCCTATGAAGTACTTTGAGACATTTTGAAGATGCTATAAACAAATGACATTTGATATAGTTCCAGTCACATAAATGTCTCATTCACAGAATGAGATCAATTGAAAATAAAGTGAACATTGTTATGTGAGCAATTGTGACATCTATCTCCAGTGGCACTCTGCAACAATAGCAGTACATAAAGGTGTATTTTTAAAATAATAATCTTTGCATTTGATGTAGCAAGTTATCACGTCTTCAAGACATCTCAAAGCGCTTCACAGAATATACTGTAAAGTGAATTGACTGTATATCTTTATGGGCGAAATCAATTTTTTTTAAAATTTTTTTTGGAAGGGATTATTATCCCCAGGAAAAGCGATCTGGCAACCGAAAAACAACCGGGTTCCTACTTTCTGCTAGGTAAGTAGACGGAATATACCGTAATTTCATAATGCCAATTTCTCAGAGCTCTATTATTTATTTTCTCCCCTTTGCCTTTCTCTTTCAAACATGCTAAATGCTGATGCGGTACTGCTGCACAATAGTTATTCTTCATTTGAGAGGCAGAACGAATGATCGGCTATCAAAACAGTTTGATCCTGTCTTTAGTCAAGGTCTACCAAAGGTTACCACTGTAGATAGTGATCCAGAGCAGGAAATTAGACTTAAATTTCCTCGATTAAGTCCAGGAACACTGAGGACAACAGTTCAAATCAGCAGATCACATCAGGAAGAAACCTGGGTCCTTCCTAGTTTATGAGATCCATCGCAAAGCATGGAGTGGCTGTATTTTGTATTTGATCGCAGAAGCTGATTTACGCACAATACTATCCCACAAACAACCAAGAAGTGAACAATTATGTCAATAAATGGCAATTAACAATTTAAAGACTACACGTAAGATGAAGCTCTCAGCAAGTTCTCTCTCTGAGTTGCTTGAATTTCATTAACTCCAAAAACAGGGCTCAGCCTTCATCTTGATACAATGGCCCAACATTGCAAACTTTCTAAAATTCAAATTTAATGAAGCCCAATTTCCAAATGCAAATAATCTTCAGTCATCATGTCCAGGGCCATGGAATACCTGCCACTGAATTTAAAGGCAACATGATAAAATATTTAAACTAAGTAATTCTCCTGAGTTGCCTGCAGAAACCATTCTAAACAGCAATTAAACAGTCATGAGATTTCCAGAGGGATAAGGACAGTATTGTAATCTGAAATACTTTTTATTATATATCAAAACTGCAACTTAAGTGCATTATTTCGAACATGATTTTCATGTAAATACATAGGTATTGTGAGCATGGTCAACAAGGAGGATTTCAGATTAATTCAGCAAAGATTAACCGTAAGCAACTACTACTGTATCAAGTTAACTTTAGTACATGTTCAGCATCTCCTGAAGAAAAACAACTCGAAAGACAATCAAATCCATTGCAATCTGGGTTACCAGTGAATGTAAATGAAAGCAGAGTAAATAAACATGGCTCATATTTTCAGATCATCCTGACATCAAAAGAAAGCAAAGACCCAGCATTTAGTTTTACATTTGTGAATGTGAGACCAAGACATGGACCAAACGGGTTCACTTTGGAATCCCGACTTATTAATAATAATAAACCGTACATAAGATATAGCACCTTTTGTGTCAGAAAGGCATCTCAAACCACTTATGATGTACTGTAAAGTGTAGTGACTGTGTATTCTGCAGGCTAATTTGGCAGTCGATTTACATACATATGTTCAAAACACTGACAACTTAAATTTATATGGCACCTTTTATGTTGGGAGGATGTCTCAAAGAGCTTTACACAGCTGACGAGGAACCCGAGCTAGGGGGGTTGGGGGAGGGAAGATGACCTACACGCAGTCGAAAAGGAAGGTCTTAAAGCAGACTTTACAGGTGGCGAGGGCAAGTCAGATGAACTCTGGGACACAGGGGGAGAGTGGCAGGAGATCACAGAGGTAATGTCGGGTGAGGCAGTGGAGGGGTTTGAATACAAGGACAAGCATCTTGAAAACACAGCCAGTGTTTGATAAAAGCCACTCAAAGTTTAGCTAAAGCATAAATGAGCCTTTTGAATTTATGTAATGACATAGTGTTCACAGACAGACAATGCCACACATAAATCACCTTTCCCACTTCAAGCAAAACAGAGGAGGTTCAAGACTAATTATGGCTATATACAAAATGTTTGACATGGATACTTGGTTTTATTTTACAACAAAAGACAACCAAATGAATAAGATCTCTTTCTTTATTTTGAATGGTCTTTGTTAAATGATAAACTTTTACTTGTTTGTGAAAATAGATATAATAAAAATATTTTCATTTTGATGGATGGCAACTCTCACAATGTGCTCCCCCAACGCTGAACTGGGAGTTTCCGCCTAGACTATGAGCTCAAGGTCCCCAACACAGTTGTTTGAAAAACACTGATGAAGCCCAAGGCTGTGATTTTGATGAGCTGTACATTTTTTACTTTAACAAAGGGCACTCCGATCTTCATACCAAATAGAATTGATGTTGTATAAGTTAGGATGGAAAGAGGTAAATCGTGTGATCAAGATCCAATGGAAAATACCTGCAAGGTTGAAAGCCGAGAGAGCATTGCGGACAGGGAGAGAGGAGGCTGTCAACTGAAAATAAATTTGAAACCTTTTCAAGTTCGGAGTGGAAAGTGTTGTGTATTTTGAGTAGTGTTGCATAACAATACAAAAAAAACATACTTATGCACTCTGAGATCAAAAATAGATCTAAAATGTTCAGTCTATGTATAGGAATTTATTTTGAAGGATTGAGGTTTTGTGTTTATTGTTTGTATTTGAATTTTTGGACTATTACTTGGAATCCAGTGCATTTATTTTTAACTGTCCATAAAGACCAAGAACCAGGCATTCCCTAATTCCCAAACCCTAATTTTCTTTCTTTTTGCCCTCTTTAGGTCGTCTCTCCATCCAATACACTACCACGAAGCCAGAAGGGCAGAGATTCCTTCCCAGCTTGTGCCAATGCAATTCTCTAGGCAGTCGCTAGGGCAGCACAAGCAGCATGGGACAATTTACCCTGTCATTAATCTTCCCCTCTCCCTGTGCAGAAACACATCAACAACGCAGAACATGAACTCACTAGGAACCACAGACTGAAAGTCAATTTCTGTTAATCGAAGGCACAAACTGTTAGTACATTAAACACTCTGCACCATTATAATGCCATCAGAGTGTCTTTTCTCTCTGTGCACAGTAGGAGAATGTGTGTATCGAAAGAAACACCAGCTTGTACTGGGCTTGCTAAGCTATTGATGAATCAGCATCCGGTTTAGAAAGCATTTCTACTTCTGGCGATATATCATAGAATATAACACAATAATCCATGCATTTGATATAGCTTTTTCATGTCTTCTAGACGTCTCAAAGCGCTTCAAAGAATATACTGTAAAGTGAATTGACTGTAGAATCATAGAATTATACAGCACAGAAGGAGGCCATTTGGCCCATCGTGTTTGTGCCGGTTCTTTGAAAAGAGCTATTCAAATCAATCCCACTCCCTCGCTCTCTCCCCGTAGCCCTGCAAACCTGTTCTCCCCAAATAATTATCCAGTTCTCTCTTAAAAGTTGTTATTGAATCGGCTTCCACCACCCTTTCAGGCAAGACTTTCCAGATCTGAACAACTCACTGTGTGAAAAATATTCTCCTCACCACCCCTGTGTCTTTTAACAACTATTTTAGGTCAGTGTCCTCGGGTTACCGACTCACCCGCTAGTGGAAATAGTTTCTCCGTATGAAAAGTGGAAGTGGCCATATATGAAAGTGATAAATAGAAAGCCATACCTTGAATGAGTTCATACTCCGCAGCGATGAAGGGAGAGAGGCAGTGCTGGCAGCTAGTATGAGTAACAGCTCTAGACAGGTGTTTACTGGCAGAATTAGAGAGTGCACACCAATATTCTTTTCCCATGTGTCTCGAATACTGAAAAAAAAGTAATTTATTAATTTATTAAAAACAAAGGCCAGGAATGTTTGAATTAAAATATTGCTTTCCATCCAAACGCTAGAAACATTACAAAACCATTTGCAAGATAAACAAAAGTGAAAGAAACAAGGTACAAATTTAGCTTCAGGCTTGGGATGTCGATAGCTGACATGAGTACTGCGAGGATGAAAACCCCTTAAGAGGCAATATCCTGTGATTTACTCTATTTAGCACTGCATATTCATTTTTATATAGAGTCAGTATGCATCAGAAATAATGCCTTCTCAATAACGATTCCAGTTCGTCCCAGGTTGCAAGATTGATGACGCTAACACACAAATCTGTAGCTAATTCTGCTTTCTTGATATAAACTCCTCAAGTCAGTGTACAATCAGATAACTTGAAGAAATATAGGAGCTACCTCAAATCCCCTCACACACACACACACACAGCAAAGTCCATCTCAGAGAGCAGTCTTGGAAAAGTGGAATTGGCTCCATACAACTGGAACACAAACACAAATTGTTAGCTTTAAAGTCTGATTATACTAATGAAGTATCAAGGTGACAAAATGCATGCAAGATCTTTAATTAGAAATGGGGCGAATCTGCAAGACAGATAGATTCCAGAACCCGCACTATTTTCCTAAAATCCAAAGACCTCCGCATAAAAAAAATCCATTGGGTCAGTAGCCTATCAGTTGAATACTTTTACACAATTCAGCCCCTCACTGCCTGATCATTAAAAAGCCTGATAGAGGCATATGAAGAGACGCAAGGCACTGTCTGCTAAATGACTTCATTTGTATTAATCGGGTGTGAAGCACAACCACGCAGATAAAATCTTTCACAGTAATAGCAATATTTAAGGTTTTCACTGAACAAAAGTCTTGATGTCTATAACATTATAAATTGCTGTTGGAAATTTAAAAACCACCACACAATAACGTATTTGCTGTAACTTTGTTGCACGAACAATTTACAATTTGAAGGATTGGGCTGTTTAAATTCAATTCCAATTAACATCTCTTAACACAACTTAAATTTGCAACATGTAAGGAATTGGTTAGAGCTGCTTTGCACTTGATTAAAACAGTAATAGAACCCTTTTGCAGAACATTAGAATGATTAGATATTTTTTTCCACAAGCGTGTCCTTTCCTCACCTAATGAGGATCATTAAATTAGACTTGGCTTAATGAAACATTCCCTGGCCCATCTACACAATGGAATTACTATTGTGCAGTTTAGATGGAGGCCGAGGGTAGAGGTGGAACCTTAAAGCATGGTCTTAAATCAAACATGCCAGAAAACTCAATGACAACCAAGGCAATTTCCTATCTTAATTTAAATCTAAAGTTAATTAAATTCAGATTAAAAGAATGGAATCTAAGGCAAGACTATTTTCTAATTTCATTTAGAAAGGGTTGTTTAACTTAAGATAAAGTTTCGATTTTCTTTATTGAGCAAACTAGGTGAAGGGCCAAGTCCCATACCACAAGATTGAAAAGGGTGGAAGAAGATGAAATAACCCAAGTGCTGGTGATTATTTTTTTATATAGCTGGAGACAGTTGAAGAAGAATAAAAAGAAAGCAGGAAAGAATTGCTGGTTTGTCCTTCGGATGAAACATTCAACCAACTTTAAAGTTGGACTTTAAAGATCACATGGCTGTATTCGAAAAGAGAAGGGAGTTTCTCCCAATGTCCTAACCAAAAATTCCCAAGATAAAATTGGTCATTCACTGGCATTTTGAAATATGCCAGACAGTTTTCAGTGTGCATTGCTGACCTTCTTTGGTAAGTAAATGTTGGGGTCTACACTTCAATCATGCTATAAACCATCCTGCATTATAATGAAGTGCATTACATGGGGTTCCATTGGATTTGTGTGGTAAGTGTGATTTGTGTGGCAAACAGCAATAGTTTAGATTTTGCAAAGAAATCATCGCAATATATAATTAAATAAACACATTTGTTTTGCCATTTCATTCTTCCAAATTGAGTGGCACCAATGTTCCCAATGCACATAGTCACAACATAGAGCTAAGCTGTTTGACAACAACAGCAGCAACAACAACTTGCATTTATATAGCGCCCTTCACGCAGGGTAGTGTCCCGGAGCGCTTTGACAACTATGACAACCTAGGGTGGTAAATCTAAGGCTGAGTTCTGTCATCAATATTGTGCGAAGTCACATATAGTAACAAACCTAGCAAGACTAATTTCACTTGTTACATTTTAGGCCTAATTACATTCTTATTATAGAACCATGTTAATATTGGCCTTTTATACACCAAATGTAAAGGCTAAAAATGAGCCTAGTACAGAGTCATTAATTCAGGAAGCCTAAGGTACTACTTATCACTTGAATGGTTTCCTTGCAATGGTCCGAATATTCTCATCAGTCTGGGGGCTGTCTTTGAAACCAGACACGATTTATGTGGGGAAAGTTTCCATCAGTTGTAAGAATTGAAAACAAAAGCACGCAGACCAACGTGAGAGGTAGAAACATCAGATTGATGCAGTGTCCTGGGCTGACAATCCGCCAGATTAATGGCGAGCACCATGCTTAAGAGTATCCAAACCAAACTGAGTTCTATGCATCCCACTATATATGGAAATTCCAGAGGTGTTTATTGGAATGCTCACTCTTTCCCTAGAGAGACACATCCTGCTTACCTAATTCTGGAAAGTATTAGGCGTAGCCTGGCAAGAGCCAAGGCTTGAGGACCTCAGAGTGTTCGTTAGGACACTGCTGGAGTTTAAAAAACTAAAACCACAGTTTGCCATTGCAAGCACTGTTTGGAAAGCTTTCCCGCTGCTTGTCCAGCTAGGACCACCCTACCAGTTAGGACTTTGGCTTGCGTGGCTAACAGGAGCTGAGTGGGCAGAGTCCCTGCCCCCAATGACTGGTCTGTCCTTCCAAGGCAGGCTGGCTGTGCTGTCATCAACAGTGCCTGACCTAGTCAATTCATCCCTAAAACACTTGGGGACTAGCCTTATTATATTCCTCGTGGACTAGCCTTATTATATTGCTCTTCAGTGCCTCTTATGCACAATAAACCACATGTGATACATAAACCCAGACATAATCGAACAGGATGAATTCAGAAATTCCGAAGTTGAACAATTTGAATTATGAAACTACTTTGAGCTCTTTTATTACTATGCCATGCATTATATAATGATTATATTAATAATATTGTGTTGCAAATTGGTCATTTTAATGTAGTTTATAGAGGATTATTACAGCTTTTGTGTCAAACCACAGACACAAAACAAAAAGAAGTCATAGGCAATGTGATACCAACTCAATGCATTGATATACTGTACCGTATAAGTAATAAAATGAAATTTAAAGACAACATTTCCCCAGATGGAAAACTGTCACAATGCTGTCGGAGAGATTTCACTCAGAGGCACACCCCGTCTACAGTTTGTAGGTCCAACGCTCCTATTTGTTGAAAACTGGCACCAGGTCACTTGCTGGTCTTTTTCCAATATTCCCTTTGTTTATTTTCATGATTACCTTAAATAGATCCCTCTCATTACTGACTCATCTACCAGTGGAAATAATCTACTGCTATTTTACCAATCAAAATCCTTTATAATCTTAACGTCCTCTATCAGGTCTCCCCTTAACCTTCTCAGTTACAGTGAAAAATGCGGTAACTTTGCAAATCTCGCCATAACTGAAACTGTTCAACCATTATACCATCCACCTTGGGCCGTCCTCCTGACATGGAAGGCACTATAAAAATGTAAATTTGTATTGTATTTTAGTGAATGTATGACATACCGTTCCATTGTTTTTATATCCTTGTTAAAATAGTTTTCCCAAAACTGTACAGGTTTTAGTTTGCTTTTATTTTATGATTCCATAGTTTCTTTTAATGACCCATGTATGTACACACCAAGGAACCTCTGCTCCTATACTCTGTTTAAAATCTTACCATTTTAAGATTTATTTTCTTTCCTTACTCTTACTAATATGTAAGACATCCCATTTTTCTACATAGAACTGCATCTGCCACCTAAATGCCCACCTTACATGTCTATCTATGCACTTCTGCCACAATTCTTGCCATAATTTTTTACACCTCCAATCTGATATCATTAGCAATTTTTGACTTTGTTCCCTCAATTCATAAGTCAGTGTCATTTATATATATAATAATTTAAACCTACATGGCTTGTCATTCCAAACACTGTATGACAAGCTTCTCATTGCTGGTCCACTAGGACCACCATATCCATCAAGACTTGTGGGGCTAACAGGAGCCGAGTACAAAAAATCCCAGCTCCCTCTGACTGCTCCTTCAAATCCTGATGATGATCTAGACCAGCTGGTCTGTCATCAACAGTGCCTTGTAGAGTATTGCACACTGGGGGTTAGAAAAAGCCAGAGGTCCAACTCAATTCCAATATTCTATTGACAGGCTTGTCAACTTGTAGCCATCTTAGCCACAAAGAGACTCCACCTACCTCCTCCCAAGGAGGATGATCAGTGGGTAGTCATTAGACATCTGACAAGCACAAGTCTGAGCCCTCACTAAGTGGAGCATAGTAAACGAAACACGCCTCCATCTTCAGTGTCTGAAATTACTTATTGGAATGTCAACCTAGACATTTCAATGTCCTGATGTGGGGCTTAAACCCACACATTCTGACTCAGAGACGAGAGTGCTACCAACTGAGCAAAGTTGACAATCTAACTTCTTAAGATTGCATTCAATTAAGTAAACTTGTAAAACAAAAAGGATTTTCCACCACAACTCTGGATTATGGTCTTTAAATTTACCACAGAACAACCGCCACATGAATACCCACAATTCAAAATTCCCTTTTATTAATGAAAAAAATGTTCAATTACAGTTTTTTAGAATGAGAAATAGCATTGTTTATTTTGTGCTTTAAATATCTTTCAGGGCCTCAACAACAAAACCAATTCCACAGATGCACTATTCCGAGCAGAAGTATAACTAATTAATAACTATC